TCCTAGATTTATGAGATAGCTAATAACAAATTTAATTAGACATGTTTGATCCCATCTATGCCTCAGAACTCTCTTGCTTAGGTATCCTTTATCACAAAAGATTTTTGATTAAATCATCCAATTTGGAAAACTTATGTAAACGGCCCATAAAAGGGTTATAAAAATTGTGAATACACCCTGGCCATCTAAAGATAACACTAAGCGATTAGGTATCCTTTATCCCACTAGTGCATACAAGAGATGTGCGAGCGCTTTTCAAAAAGGATTACATATATTTGAGGTTTTGTAAAAGGGTCTTTTATATGTTTTATAATTATAGTTTAAAAAACATATGATATCATGGTTTTTACATGCATATAATAAACCATGGTACCAATTTTCAAAAGAAAATCACTTTTAAAAGTTCTATATAAAAAGTTAGTTTTTATATAATTTGACGCGATTCAAATTTAATAATCGGTATTAAGTTTGAGTGCATTTGAACCTTTTATATCTTTAATAAATCTTCATTTTGTTACTTATATATTTGGAGTTTGTATAAGTTAGAAAAATCACCATTATAAAACTTATATTTGAGTATTTCAAAATTTCATATTATTAACGTTTTTATAAAACCAAATTTTATTTTAAACAATAAGTTGTTACATTTTATGTCCACGTTATAAATTTTGAAAACCAAACTCCATGTGATGTTTATTTTGATCAAAAATTATATTAGCATGTGAAAAACTAATGTATCAACCACACATAATAATTGGATAAAATAAACAACACAAACATCAATAAAAATAAATGTGCATAAACATAACTAACTAATAACATTTTTTGTGAGCCAACACAAAAAATACCAAGTCCGTTCTTAAATGACATTTTAAAGGACCAAAAAATCTTCTTGTAATGTTGTTGTAGAAACTCCCACTTGAGAAAACACCATTTGCTTGCAAAAAGATTGGAAAAGCTTCTTGAAAGCAATATTTCAGCAATTGTCGCTAAAAGTCCAACAACCCCATGAAAACAGCATTAGAGAGACTTTTTAGAAACTGTCACTAACTTTCAGCATGTTCTTAAACTCGAAAATTGCTCTTTGGTCTTCAAAAAATGGCTTAAACTTCATTTTTTGTTACATTTGTGTACAAATAAATTATTTCTAACAACTAATATATTAATTACAAAAATAAACAAAGAAAACTAACCTATTTAAATTATTACATACCGTATAAATAAATAAATTATTACAACCATTTTTATAATAAAAACATGAAACACAAGAACACAACAAACATAATGGTCCTTGGCTAGTTTATGTATATCATACATATCAACATACACATTAAACAACCTTTGTTTTTCTAAGATAACTTTAAATGATAAAAGATGCATGAAACTTTTGTCACATAAAAAAAATAACAATTATAAAGTTGTTATAGAAAATATGTATGAGCTTGTTTTTATAAAAAACCAAGTTATCCATATTCTCCAAAAACTAAGATGTCCAAAAATAAAAAAAAATCTAACCAAACTTGCAAGGTGGCTCTTGATACCAATTTTTGGGTTTTTATTCAAAACTAGTTTCAAAAACATAAGATTTAGGCAACGAAAGACTTATAAATTTTTAATAACATAAACAAGTTAAATCCACCAATGATCATCTTGCAAGTTGTAGAAAGATGAAACACCAACCAAAGAAGAGATGAAGAAATAACAACTTTTGTAGTTTTTTGGGTCCTCTTGCTGGAAGTTGATGAAGAATGATGAACTTAAAGGACACCAACAATGACTCAACTTGATGTAGAATGCTAGTTCTTTGGCATAAAACTCTTAAGACTATTAAGCTTCATGTTCTTATCAAAATAAGAACATAAAGAGAGCATGGAGATGCAAGTAAACTCCAAAAGCAAGAACAAAGGAGAGAGAGAGATAGAGAATTAAGTCCTTAAGGACTTACAGTTTTGGCTTCAAGAAGTGTGTAGAATGAAAGCCTTTTTCTCATGTATATAGAATATACAATACTCATGTGTCTTTAACCATTAAGCAGCCATGCATCTACTAGCTAGATGGTTCCTCATGCTTTCACCCATGCTCATTTCTTTTGAATAAATAATGCTAAAGACCATTCCATTGCCTCCATCTCTTATTTCAGTTTTTAGTGTGTAAAAAGAAAGACATGAGTTTTATATTTTATAAACCAAGTTTATAAAATATAAACTTTAACTTTTTGGTAATAGACAAAAGAATTTATCTAGTCCAAAATGTTTTACATGACTTATTAATTCATACCATATGAATTATGTAATATTACTTGCTAATGAAAATTATTATTTCCTAGAAATAAATAATTTCTAATTAATTATAAGAGTTTAGTGAATATTTATTAAAACCAAATTCTAATAAATAATCAATTATATCAAGTTGTTGTTAGTGTGACCCATTAGTATCATATGTTAATTAGAAATATCACTTTAATATAATTCTTGAGCATACAAGATCCTTCAAGAGCTTGTTGTGACTCTCAAATGGTCCTTAGGTTTCTGAGAATAAGTAGAGAGTCATGATTTGAGCTATTTTGATTCCATGAGCCAGCTACGGTCATATTAAGGACCTAATGGACATAGATCTTAAGATATTGTCTTATGGAGAGGTCTTAATGGATAAATTTGGAAACTTTATCCATTAAGTCATTGAGAAGGAATAGATCTGAAGTTTTGAGTCTTGATCTATAAGGATTAAGATCTTAATAAATATTTAAGGAAACTACCAGTTCCCACGACGTGGCCAAGGAATGATCACGACGTGGCCAAGGAGGGCCCATAACAAGACGTTGCTTTAACTAGGTTGACCGTTGACTTTGTGGACCTTTGATCATTGACTTTTGATCAGTTTGACTTTGGGTCAATCTTGGAGGATTTGGATTGTTGGTTGAGGATTTATCTGTCTTCGTATTAATCGGTTCAAGGAATTGATCGGTGCAAGGAGTTAGAGTGTTTATGTGCTTCTCTGGTTCTGAAATTGATAGTTTATTTTTTTTCCCTTTTTTTAGAGTTCATTTAAGCAATTTTTACCCTTTTTATTATTATTTCATTTCATATTCTTTCTTTTCTTTATCATGGATCGTATCGGGTACTTTCTATTTTGCATGAGGTTTTTTGCAAGCTTTGGGAGTCTTGATGCAGTTGTGGTTTAGCTTGGAGATGGGCTTGGTGGGCTTGCGAAGAATTATTGGGCGTTATGGATCCATCAAAGAAGAATTGGGCTTAAAATGTCAAAGACTTGGATGAAGTGGGCTTATGAAGATGGGTCATGGACTCTTGTTATTGGGCATGGACTATTCATTTGAAGCTTAAAGATGATTGGCCAAATTTGAATCATGTGAAGTGTGAAGGGAACTAAGGGAATCTTGAGTACTGGGTTGGACTAGTGGAGAAAAATAGTCAATAGTGTTTCAACACCATTTGCAAGGGTGGGGGGTCTCAGTCGCCCAAACTTACGAGGGTACCCGTGTAAATGCACACTTTGGGGCATTTTGGTCATTTTGCTCATCATTTACCTTGGGGGTTTAGGTTTGGCAGCCACACTTCGATTTTTCCACCATTGGAGCATCTTGGAGACATTTTTTGGAGATCTAAAGCTACATTCTTCTCATCCTTCTAGTAATTGTTAGTTTCTTGATGCAAAAATACTTTTGTGATTGTTATCTTGTTGCCATGAGTGGCTAATCTCTTTATTTTAGTTGACTTGTCTAAAACCCTTGGATATTTGTGGGTTTTGAAGGATTCATGCTTGATTGTCATTTATCTTATGTTTATGATTCTAGTTCATAATTCTTTTGCTTGTTTAATACTTTGATCATGAGCTTCGTACTTGAATGAGTAATTGTTGGTGCAATTATTTGGTTTAGAATTGAATCACTGAATTTTCTTAGAACAAGGGCTTTAGGATGGTAGAAATCATCTCTAGCTTATGGATCATGAATCCTTTATGGTTGTGTAAGCATTGACAACCTCCAATAATTGAGGATTCCTTCATTCTTAAGGCTAATCAATTTTCTTGGATTCCATTGTTTCAATTGAATCTTTGATTTTGATTAATAAGGAGTGTTGTGGGCTTCCCCAACCTCCATACTACCTTTGAGGAGTCTTCTCATATCATGCTTACTGCTTTCTATAACCAATTTGGGATGAATGATAAGCTTGCATATTGAATCCTAATGATAAACACTCAAATGTCCATTGTGGTGAATTACCTTGGTTAACCAATTTTCTCCAATATTTGAGCATCTCACCATCTTGATTAATTGCAAGCTTTTTTTAGTTCTTCAAGTCTTTTAGTTTTCAAACAATCACAACCCCCCTTCTTTTAGTTTAATTGTAGTTAGTTAGTTTTGTTACACCAGTTCTATTGGATTGCATTGGTGATGGAATATAACAATTTCCTCGAGGATCGATACCCCCTTTTACCATTATATTATAATTTATTTGCAAGCAAAGGGTGTAATTTTCATGGTGGACTTGATATAGCGGTGTTAATCGGGTAAAATTTTCGGGTTTCGGGTCGGGTAATTCGGGTTTTTCATATTAAAAAAATTACCCGTTACTCGACCCAAATTAAATTCGGGTAATTCGGATTTGGGTAATTCGGGTAGTGGGTCGGGTAAGGGTAATTCAGGTATTACCCGATTTTTTTAAAAAAAAATTTAATGGCACCTAAAAATAAATTTAATGAATAAGTATGTTGTGCTGAAACTTTGAACATTGAGATTTTTTACTCAATAATATTCGATATATAAAGTATTCTTTTAACAATTTAATCAAATCTAATAAGATGTTACAAAAACAAATACTTAAAGAAATAATAACAACAAAAGTCAACCATTTAAATTACTTGATATCAATGTATATGCATGTATTTTGCATTTACCAAAAAAAATCACGTCTTAAATCTAGAAAACATAGAAAACCATTACATATTATGAAAATAATAACATGTCAAGTTCCAAAAGACATTCATAAATATACTCGTCTTCTTGCACCTACTCGTTCTTCTTGCACCTTCACTACTTCATCTTTCTCAATTCTATATAAAAAAAGTCAAATAATGTTAGTATAAAAAGCAAAAGATATTAAATTTACAAAAATTAAAATAATGAACGATAAACAATTACCTTTGTCAATTTGTTGATTTTCTTCCCAATCTTTTTCATAATCGATTGTGTCACTTATGCTACCTCGAATCCAATCTTGCGGAAAAATTAAACTTTCAACAATCTTAGGAGTCAAAGAACTCCTAAACGGATCCAACACCCTCCCACTAGTGCTAAAAACGGATTCCGAAGCCACGGTTGAGACGGGAATGGCAAACACATCTCTTTCCATCAATGATAGAATCGGGAATCTTGGACTATTCACTTTCCACCAATCTAGAATGCTAAACATTTCTGAGTCGTCTTCAACACTTTCTTGCAAATACTTTTCCAACTCCCCAATTGATTCAACTATGTTCGTCTTCATCTTTTACCTCTTAGTTTATTTCTCAATGGGGGATTAGGTGCCATAAAATCCGGGTTTTGGTGTTTCCCTAGTGTCGATGATGCAGTGGTAGACTCGGCAGTACTTGAAGTAGAACTTGGAGAATGAATTCTAATATAATCATTATATATTTCATACATAGAATCCATGATATATTTCTTTTTGGCCTCCACCCCCTTTTCTACTTAACGATCCTCAAGTAGTATAACCAAATACTTTACTTTGTTCCTCTGATCAAGAATCAAAGAAAAGTAGAGAAATAAATTCATTTTTTCTATGTCGCCAAAATACTTATGAAACTTTATTTTCATGGCCAGTGCAATATCACAAAGACTAGAATAGGAAATAGCATCATCCAAGAGCGTACGAATGGAATATATATCTTCAATGCATGTGTTTGATGTCACATAAAGTGTCCCGGAAATCCTCAAGTAACATCATGAAAAGGTTTTAAAAAATGACATACATTCCTAACCCTTTCCCAATGGCTTGATGAAGGTATCGACAAACCTGCCTTTTCAATTTCGTACCGAAAATCAAATTCCTCAAGATCATATCTCTCAAAAGTTTTTTCGTAAGCTTGGGCAATTTCCAACATATGGTAAGTAGAGTTACATCTTGTTGGCACGTCTCTCTTCAGGTGTTTTGTTATACCTGGATTAGCAACCTTAGCAAACTCGGTAAACTTATGAATTCTAGAAGGCGATTGCCTAATCCATTTAACCACCCATCGAACTACCTCAACCGCCTTATCAACTTTTTTATGCCATCTTGCACCACTAAATTTAAAATGTGGGCAACATATCGAATGTGCATTCATTTCCCATTTAGAAGACACTTGTTGGAGTTTTGAAAACTTTTTTTCAAGAAGTCAATTGCCACATCATTCGCACTTGCACTGTCAACAGAAATTGTGAAAATGTTTTCTATTTCCCACTCCATTAAACATTTCTCAACCATTTTCCCAATATCAACCCCACAGTGACTCTCTTGAGAAGAAAAACACAACACTTTTTTTTTAATTTCAATAAAGTGGGCGGTGAGACACATATAACATGATTGTTGTTTAGAAGTCCACGTATCAATGGTCAAACATATTCTGCCAACATTTTTTTTAATAAAGTCACGAATTTTTTCTTTTTCGTCTACAAACAATTGGTAGACATCCGTTGTACTTGTACTTCTACATGGAACTTTAAACAATGGTTGAGTAACACTATTGTAATACCTAAAGCCCGCACCTTCTACAAAGCTAAAAGGAAGTTCTTCAACTACCAACATGTGGGCTAGAACTTTCCGACTCTCATTTTGATCAAATTTCCAAGCTGACAATTTGTTTTCATCACCATATTGGAAAGCTAGTTGTTTTTGCCCACCACTAGGTTTAGCCAAGTAAGCTTTACATTTACTTAAATGATAACCTAGATTTTTGGTCCCATAACCACCTGATTCGCACTTGTAATTCCCGCCACCACAATGCTTATATTTGCATATTTGAACACCCTTTCGTCCTTATACCTTTCAAATTCTTTCCAAACTTTCGATCTTAGGTTGAATTCTTTAGTTTTTTTTCTCTTTTTCTTGTGGAACTTGATCATTGGTTGGGTTGTCAACTTCAATCATCTCATCTTCCACTTCAATATAGTCATCTGTTTTTTACATCTAAAACAAGAAAAAAAACAGAAAAACTGTTTAAAAAAGCAATTGGTTGTTATCACTTACATTCAAACACGAGCTAGCAGGTCAAATGCTACTGTTTGATTGATTACTAATCCAAATGCTACTGTTTGATTGATTCATGAATCAAAATCCGATTAAATAAAACTTTTAATAATATACAACAAATCCAATATCTTATTTTTAATAGAGTAATTGTTTTTTTAAACAAACATATTAGCAATAAACAATATAATAGAAATGTGAGCAACAATTAACAATTGAACAGGTTATCTTGTATATGTATACCTACAAGAGTTAACGGAAAATGAATGCACACTTTGAATCAAATTCTTAACTCTTAAGTAGAGTAGTTGATAAGACCACAACAAACTCAAATATCAAATGTCTCTCTTATTGCAAAATTCGATTCATATGCTATGTACTATTTAGCACCTTAAACTAAAGATCACATTTGTATTTACATTCGACTATTAACTTGTGCTATCATTTATCGAAATCACTAGATTCCCAAAAATAAATTCAAATTAGCTTGTAAACCACAACCACCTATATAACCTAGAAAAAAAAACAATACATGACATCAGGCTTAATAACTTCAAAATAAGCCATATCAGGCTGGCCACCTGCTTAAAAGGAGAATATTTAGGGGGTAATTAAAGATCACATTTGTATTTACATTCGACTATTAACCTGCGTTTATTTTCTAATGAAAGGACCATATTTAAGGGGTAAAGGTTTCCCTTTCCCATTGGTACCCAAGTTAAGGGACGAAATTTAACTGTAAAATAAAAGAAATTGGTTGTTATCACTTACATTCAAGCCAAGTTTGAACTTCAAATTTTGAAGTCCAAATATGTGATTTTTGCCTGGAGGTGACGAGGATGACTGTGACGCTGCAACGAGCCGACGGGCGACGACCAGCTGATGACTGGCGAGGTGGCGATGAGCCGACGACCAGCTGACCGGCGAGGAGGCGGGGACGACCAGCTGAAGTTGATCTCGCTCGGTGATGAACGAAGAGACGAGGGTTTTCTTTGACGAGAAAATAGAACGAGGGGGCTGGGATTTGGACTATCACGGATAAATTTAACTCATAAAGGAATAAAGGATATTGGGCCATTCATTATTTGTTTAATATATTTCGGATAATCGGGTATACCCGAAACCCAAAACACTTACCCTTTACCCGACCTGAAAAAAAAATCGGGTTACCCAAATACCCGAAAAAATTTACCCGATACCTGATTTACCCGATACCCGAAAAAATCAGGCAGGTAATTCAGGTAACAGGTATTTTCGACAGGGCTAACTTGACATCCCACCAAGTTTTGATTCAGGTGAGTCTCCTCACTCTTTTGTAGGACACTAGGTGTTGTTATGTGCTTGTTGTCTTCTTGACCCTTGCTGGTGTGTTTGTTTGATTTATACATGTGGGTTGTTACGAACCCATCGTTCGTACGGACTCGATAGAGTCAATATGGACTCGGAGTCGATACAAACTCAGGTTTGTTACGGACCCGGGGTTGATATGGACCTGATACAGTCAATACGGACTCGGAGTCGATACAGACTTGGGGTTGTTACGGACATGTTACTGTTGTTTGCTAGTATATATGTTGTATGTGATATTTTGGGGAAAACTCACTAAGCTTTGTGCTTATCGTTTATGTTTAAAATGTTTTCATGTACTTCTGGTTCCAAAGGGAAAGGTCCGGCTTGATCGCACTGCATCCCCAGGAGATTTATTCCCAAATGACTGTTTATAATTTTATTTTGATGTTTTAAGAATAATTTTACTCTGAGTGTCTTATAGAACAAATGAATGAAGGGTTTGATTTATTTAAAATGAATTTTTTACTTAGTATTGTACGGACATTTCAATTATATTAACTTTAATCCTAACTATTTTGTGACCATTAAATTGTTATGACTAAAGATGGACCATCCTATGGTTAGGTAATATAATTATTAACTATAATGTGTAAGACTATATTAGATGACCACTATGTGCAACTAATTGATTATCATGACCATTGGGATAAATTGCTAGATCGAATCTTTCATAATATATAAAAAAAATTGGTTATTTAGATAGTTAATTGCATGACCACTATGTTTACTGTTTTTATAATTAATCGTATTAGTTAATAGGACCAATATAATTGATTATTATAGAAATCGGTAATCAATGAAATAAATTCATTACACTTATAAGAAATCAACCATAAAAAATGGGAATTCGAGTCTATGTGGCAATACTCTAAATATATTGCTCTAATCCAATTTTTAGTTTTATTGCTAATTTTAATTACATTTAATAAAATTTAAACATACCCCCTTTTACTTATATGTTCCCCTAAGGTTCGATACCTAGTATTACCTCAACTATACTATTACATGATTCGGTACACTGCCTAGTGTGTGTAATAGTCCAGTTATGATAAACCATTTTATAAATTTTAAACCTATAGATAAATCACACATCAAGTTTTTGGCGCCATTGCCGAAGAACAGTTTAATTTTGTTTAGATTATTTAGCCATTAATTATTCAATCCCTGTTGTGAGTTTTCTCACAAAAAGTTAATTTTTTGTTTAGTATTATTCTGCTCGAGCAACAAATACATGTCGCGTGCACCCGTTCTACGCAACGCGTTTGCTGGGCGATCACGTGTTTTTATTCTATTTATTTTTATTTTTGATTACTGCTTTGTGTTTTTGTTTTGTTTCAGTTAGTTAATATCCTGAGGATCCACTTCAAAAGTAGTACCTCAATTTTCCGAACCCGAGCACGAAGTTCACAAAAGAAATAAAAGGGAGCGATGAAGAAGATAGCGATGATGAGGAAAGCAATAATGAATGGATGACTGATACCTCATATATTATGCTAGAAGAGTATGTGAGTCGCACCGGAGGGAATGGACCACATCTAGTTCACGAAACGATACCAGTAACAAAAAAATCAGCTAAAGGGTCAAATTTTTGCAATTGTTGAAGGATACTCCATTCTACAGAAAAGATCGTGAACACGCACACAAACATGTGGACGAAGTAATCAAGATCGTCAACTACTTCAACATTCGAGGAGTGGCAAATGATGCGGTTATGTTGTGATTGTTTCTGATAACACTCAAAGATGTTGAAAAGAGATGGGTAAAATCCTTGCCATCTTACTCGATTACCACGTGTATGATCTTAAATCAAAATTTATCCGACAATTTAGTCCATGATCGGAATTTGCCAAAGTTAAGATGAAGATTCAGAATTTCCAACATTTAGATGAAGAAACGCTTTATGAGACTTGATATCGATACAAAGATATGCTCCAAAATTTTTCATAAGACGATAAAATTCTCATCAAGTGGTAGAAACTTTCTACAATAGGATCAATGTGTGCACTTGAAAATTGGTTGATTCTAAAGGGCTCATAATAGAGAAGAACCCAACTGATAGCGAAACGATTATAGAAGAACTGGCATGACATTCGCATCAATGGAACTCTTCTCATGACACGTATGTTAGAAGAATATCAATCGATGACAATTCTGATAGCCTTGCCACTTTAAGTGCAAAACTCAAAAACTAGGGTCAAGATATGACGAAGATTAATCAAACAATTCACCCGATACAAGTCGGATACGATAACTGTAGTGCTCCTCACTTGACAAACGATTGAGACTTGGATGAAAATGGAAATAAAAAGGCGCAAGTTTGTTACTCTTTCGGTGACAAATATGAAGATTGGTGGCCTAAAAGAGAATGGAAGACTTGTGGCGAGTATCAGAAATAAAAGGCTGAAAAACACCGACAACAAGGGCAAGTGTTTTATAAAAATGATCCTCAAGTAATGGAAACCCAATTTAGAAGATATATTGGCTCGATTTGGTGAGGAACCCAAGAAGAGGAATTGTAATACCAAATCTACCTTAAGAAACCAACAAGCATCTATATTGAATAAAGAAAATTAAGTGGGTTAACTATATCAACTAATATACGAGCATATTCCTGAGAACATTACCAAGTAGCACGCGAACAACCCCAAAAACACATGTCAAGGCTGTTACGACACGATGTGGTAAGGTTTGTGAACCCTTAATTTTTATAAATACTAACAATTCATCAAGTGTGAAAAAACACAAAGA